CTCTCCCTGTAGGACTAGGAAAACGGCACCGTCGGTGAAAGCGGAAATTTAACTGACCAGACGTGGGTGAAAGCAAACGGCTAGGAGAAAAAGGGTAAGGTGACCGCGGTGAATTCAAGCAACCGAATGCAACGGTGAAGTTGGCAGTTGAAACTGTGGCTGTGTTGCGCTGTCGGCGGGGGAATGATCCCCTGCGTGAGAAGTATCAGTTAAGTTGTTCCATCGGGGCGAACATAACGGAGCCAGAGGGAGAGATCCCGAGAATTGCGGCTTGGGTTCGGATCGGCTGTCGAGATCGAGTTCTTTAGGTACCGCATGTAGGCCGTAACGGGAGATTCAGCCGCTGCGTGCACCGCCGGAAAAGGCGGGAGAGGCGATAAAGGAGCCGTGACCGTGGGATGAAGTTGTTTATTGCTGGTTGCAGTGGGGTTGGGTGGTGGAATGGAGGAGGGGCGCATGGTAGCATAGGAGGGGGGGTTGCTAACGTGCACAAGGGGTGGGGGACGGATGCGCTGGAGACGAGAAATGGGAGGCTAGGTTGGTGTATAGGCGGAGGAGTTGAAAAGCGCTCGTGAGTGGAGAGCGGTGAGTTTCTGGACCACATCTCTGAAATCGTTCTTGTTGATATTGTAGACCGGTGGTTGATGCTGATGTTGATGCTGAAGATTCTGCTGATGCTGGGGTTGAGGAGGTTGATTTTGATTCTGGTCAAAAGTGGATCGTTCTTGACGATGGGATTGTAGTGTAATAGCGGCGTTGGTGGTGGTGTTTGTGTTGGGTTTAGAGATCTTGTGAGAAAGCTTATTAAGTGCTTGAGATAATGATCTCTGTTGTTGGTAATGGAGCTGCTAAAGTTACTAGTGGTGGTGGTAGAGTCACCTGAAGAATGACAGATTTTATCCATTACAAAACAGAAAAAAACTCTTCTCACTTTATCTTTAAAACGTAATAATCTAAATATCTGATATGATGTGTACAGCAGCAGCTATGTTAATGGCGGACTGAACTAAAGGGGTGGGTAGTAGGGACAGAGGGAGAGGAAGAGGGAGAGGGAGTAAATAAATAGATAGATAGATATAGAAATGTGTTAATTGATAAATTAATTAATTTGAGTTAATAGTACAATAGTATCTGGAGAGAGCAGGAGAAAAAGGTGGAAAAGAAGGAATATGTCTGTTTTATTTGTTTGATTTACGAGGGTAAAAAAGAAGAGACATGACCGTAGAAGAAGGCCCACACTCGCTATCTCAACTCCTCAAGCTTTTGTGCTTATCTACCAAAGTGGGGCTGCTGCGTTACTCAGTGAGTAACGTGGTGTTACGTCAACATTGCTTTGTCCGTTTCGTGACTGCGGGTCACGGGCCAACTTCTCTTTCTGTTTTTTTATTATTTATAATTTAAAATATGGTATTTTTCCTTTTGATATTTGACGATTACAAGGTGAGTAATTACGGATGGGTGGTTTGAGGTCTCTTTAATGGTGATGTGTATTTCCAACCCATGTAATAATTATTGTGTGTTGGAGTATTATATGGCCGTCAAATTGCGTTACTTCATAATAATGTGAATGAGTTGGGGGCTCTTTAGACAGTAGACAAGGCTGCAAAATGCTTTTTCTTTTTTCCAAATTAACCACAATATCCATGCTAAATAAACTCAAATAAAGTCTATTTCAGTCAAAATTTTTGAAAAAAAAAAAGGCTGTGGCTGTGGTTGAGGATGAGCATGACAAGAATCTATGTAGCAATTATCACACCACCACTTCCATCCCAAATTGTTTGTTGATAAAGGAAGCAAGATTGCAAGTCCCGTGTTCTTTTAGTGCGCATGTTATGCATACTCCTTGATTTTCACAAGCTCGCTACTTGCATATTATTTAACTTAATCAATTAAATTCAATTAAGTTTTAGTTTTTTTGTTGGTTAATTTCTGGGATCAAACATTTTTGCTTTTTTTTTTTTTTTTTTTTTTTGTGGTAGGGCTTGGGATGATAAGGCAAGAAAATTAGTAAAAATCTGAATTGAAAAAGTCATTTACATAAAATAATATTTGTATGTTCTTTAAGTCTTTAACCAACTATTAAAGGGTTGGCATGGAATGAAAGCAAGCTTAGAACATCGTTTTCCAAATATGGTTTGACTAATTCTAATCTCTTCACGGGCCATTCTTTTACAAAACGGTCTTTCACTAGGCCCCATCAACAATGCACAAACCATTTTAAGATTATCATTATTATTGCTTGTAATTTTCTTTGAGATTGAAAATTGTTGAGAGAAATTTCAGATGGACTTCTTATGGCAAAACTAAAACTATTGGGTTCAAACTTGCAGTTAATTGGCTGTTGCTTTCTGGTAGGTGACCAATATAACATGTTTTTTTTTCTATTATCATTGTTTACGTCCCTTCAATATTAATATACAGTCAAACATTAATTTTTAACTTAAACAAATTAAATTCGCTCATAAAAAAAAAAAAAATTAATGAATTTACATCTGACAATAATCAGCATGAAATCTACTGCGCCTGATTTGGTATATAACTAGTATTCTCACCAGTTTGAGTTAATCAAGTCAATCAAATTAAGTTTATATATATTAAATATATAGAAAAAATTTGGTAAATATTGAATGTTAATATCTGGCTTAACTTCCAGGTTAGAACAACAAAAGATAATGTTATAAACTATAAAGACTATTTTTGCAAGGCTGACATGAGCAAGTATGGGGCTTCTATTTCTACATGGATATGGAGTCTAAGAGAAGCCGGTGAGCCCAACAGGCTTGGCATCTAGCTAAGCCCAGGAAGGTAGCTCCAAATCCAATTATGCATGTTTTCAAGTCGGATTTAAGGTTGGTTTTAATGGTGGGCAAGGATCGGGCTCAATCGGTTTCAGGTCTAGGCCCAGTCGTTCTCGAGACTGGTCCTAGGCCCATGAAATTTTCCAGGTTCCAGACCAGTCATGAGCCCATAGGACCGGTCCCAGATAGGGGTGTCAACCGAGCTAAGCCGCTCACGAGTCGGCTCGGCTCATTAAATACTAAAACTTGGCTCGATTATAATCGAGCGAGCTAGCTCCAACAAGACTCGAATTAGGTACCAAGCCGAGTTTGAGTCTACCCTGGCTCGACTTGATTCGGCTCGCAAGTCAATAGTGGCTCATTTAGGGTTTTTCTACGAAAAATAAAAGTTTTAGGTCTGTTTATAATTTGACATGTAAAAGTTTTAAAATGTTGCAAATTAACCCAAATTCCAATTAAAGTTTTAGGGATTTTTTAATTTGTTGTGTAATACATTGTTGATGTGTTGATTTGGGTGTGATTTATGTTGATTTTGATGTGATTTATGTTGATTTTGATGCAAATTTACCAAACATTGGATTTGATTTGTATAAAACAAGGTATGCAGTTTATATTAAAAATGGGTCAAAAGAACCGTAATCGAGCCAATTTGAGCTCAAGTTAATCGAGTCATAATTGAGCTTTCGAGTCGAGTCACGAGCCAGCTGGATTATAAACGAGTCGAGTCAGGAGTCAAATTTTCCTAACTTGATTGACTCGTGACCCGGCTCGAACTCGTTTAATGCTTAATCGAGTCAGACTTGTTTAGGGTGATACTCGGCTCGACTCGGCTCATTTACAGCCTTGTCTCAAAGCCTAGAAAATTTCAATATGCCCCACTAATATGTAAAACTTTAGTTTAGCCCTTATATTCATTTATATTTTATAAAATAGAGGGTTTTGGATATTTACCAGGGGCTTAAAAAAATTGGGCAGAAGGGTTTGGGACTGGGTCAGGCCCAGGTCTTGGAGGAGGCACCAAACCTAGGTCGGGCCCTCCTTTATGAGCCTGGTCCGGTTTTGGGGCCGATCCTAGGCCCGGTTTTTTGGGTGGGTTTTTTTGGTCTGGGCCCAAATTCTCACCTCAAGCTGGTTTGTTGGATTTCATAATCCGTTTCAAACAGCCAAGATAACATTCTTCATATTATTGAACTTACAAGTGCTAGAATTCACGGTGTAATTTGATTTCTATATTATCAGGTTTGTTATTTCATATAACTACTCCTTATCTAAATATCAAACGAGATTTCATATTATTATTAATGTAAACAACCCTAATGTAATGTTCTAACAAACCTTTTATTTAAAAAATATTAATGGGTCCCAATCCATGAAACAACCATATAATTGAGTGATTGTTTTATATTTTTGTATAATAATTGAGTAATTTTTTTTGTGATTTTGTATAATAATGAAAAATATAAGATCTTGCGGAGTGAAAAATACTCTTCAAATCTTTATTTTTAAAGAAAGTGGACAGTATAATAGTAGAATGTGAGATTCTTGGTTGATGCACACAATGATATGGAAAAAAATCAAGTCGTGGTATTTAGTATTTACCTTTATATTGTACTTGATAAATGAGACAAAGAATAATAATAACACGAGTTTCTTTTTGTTTGAAAAATACTCTGTTGAAGAAGTAGAAAGATTAAAATGTTGCGAGGAGATACAAGTGAAGAAAAACTCCCACTAATAATATGTATTTAATTTGAGTCCAATTTTCTATCTTTAAGCCAAAGACAAGATTATGTAATTTAATTTGAGTTACACCTTTTAGAAGAGGAATTAATTGAATTGAAAGGTCAATACCATTGTTATTTATGGACTTAATTAATTAGAGACGTTATTTGATTAAAAGAGATTTGTTTTGGTCAAACTCCCACTTAATTTAATCATTTTGTGATCATCCCTTCAAGTTGATAAGCTGAATGTGTGGCTGATATTAGAGAAAAATAACAAGTGCAAAAAGTAGTGGTGACGAAAGAGGCATGAGCTTTTTATATGTGAGTGGTTGTGAGTACTGAGTATGTGTGCGTCACTATAACCAAATTAGTTCAGCATCATAAATCCATCTGACACCTACAACTCGTTTGTTTCTGAAGCAATTATTTAATATCAATTCATTGCTGTTGAGTTTGCCCATCTACATATCTACCATTCTTTGCAGAATAGTAACAACGCAAAAGAAAGAGAAAGAAAGAAAAGATACAGCTCCATCGAAGGTGAATGCGTGAGATTTAATTCAGGCCGTTTATAGAATAAAGCGATGGAAAGCAAAAAGGCTTTGGCAACCACTAGAAAAGTTATAAGATGCAGAGGTTTTATTTCTTTATTTTTCTGTATATTGGTTAAAAAATCATTACTACATGAGATAACTCCACCTTGCTTCTTTGGTTTTTCTTCCTTTTTCATGATATACCAAGCAGCAGCAATCGGCAGAAAGCCAGGAGTGCCACTATCGATAGAGGAAATTGAAGTTGATCCTCCAAAAGCTTGGGAGGTTCGAATCAAGATTCTATGCACATCCCTCTGTCACAGTGATATTACCTTCTGGAAATTAACTGCAGTAAGTTGTTCATTTCATTTGCTAATCAGATTTAGAAACACAAAATGCTCCATATTTTTAATGGGATGATCACCTCACCAGGGACCTGCTGCAATATTTCCCAGAATTTTTGGGCATGAAGCAGCTGGGTAAGTAATTCAACTCCACCGACTCTCTCTCTCTCTCTCTCTCCCCCTTCTATTATTGCAATTGTCATTTGTTTATTCACTTGTGTTAGTATTATTAATGTCATTTGGTTTATTACGGGGATGTTCAAGTGTTGTGGAGAGTGTAGGAGAGTACGTAGAAGAAGTGAGAGAAGGAGATTTGGTAATTCCTGTATTTCAAGAAAACTGCGGAGAATGTAGAGACTGCAAGTCAACAAAAAGCAACACTTGCACAAAATTTGGAATCAACTATCGAGTAGACATGCCAAGGGATGGAACAAGCAGGTTTAGAGACATGAATGGGGAGATTGTACACAATTTTTTGCGCGTGTCCAGCTTCACCGAGTACACTGTAGTTGATATCACGCATGTCGTCAAAATTACCAGGGAAATGCCACACGATAAGGCCTGTCTACTCGGCTGTGGAGTGTCAACCGGTAAGTCTGGCTAGAAAATAATAGGGAAAAGGAGATGAATTAGCCTAGTGAATTCATGACCTTCATTATACATTTACAATTTCACACATCGATTAAAAATGATTAAGTTTATTGTGTCGGTGATGACTGTTTCTCACGAGGGACGCAGGGGTTGGAGCAGCGTTCAAGGTGGCAGGAGTGGAAGAGGGATCTACTGTAGCAATCTTTGGGCTTGGGACTGTTGGACTTGCGGTATCGACTCTATCCCAACTAGACTTTGACTTTTCCTATGCGCCAGTAGCTACTATGAATGATTGCCGTTTGGTTCAACATTTTTCAGTATTCTAATCCTTATTTTATCAAAAAAAATACATATTTATTTCCTTATTTTCAAAATATTATTCTATATTATTGAATTCCTTTTAAACCCTAAAATTTATTAATTTAACTAAACATCCTCTAAAACTTTTTCTTAGAAATTAATAAAAACACAACAGCAACTCACATTTACCAGATTCCAGCCACCATCGTCGGAAGCTAGCCAAAGTCTGGTATAATGGCACACTACGATTGAATCTAGTTAGTAGTGCACCGATTTAGTTTTTTTCGACCAGATTCACAATGGATCTGACCATAGCCAGTCGTCAACGACCATATCTTTGATCGTCGTTGATGACCAAATACATCTAATCGTAGATCTGGTCGAAAAAAGTTATATCGACGCACAACCAGCCAAATCCAATTAGTCGTGCGTCGATACGGTGACTCTGACGATGGTGGTCGGTTGTCGGTATTTAATAGATGGATGAAAGTGTTTTTGTTAACATTTAATAGTTTATTATAAGGGTGTTTAGTAAATAAATAAATATATCAAGTATTTTTATTAATTTTTAAATCTTACATCGTAATATCTACCTAATTTTATTTATTTTTAAATATTATTCTAAAACGTATCAAAATAATGAGTCAAAACCACATTTCACTCTTGACACTTACCAACTCTGTCTCACGTATAAACGTAGGCGAAATGAGCTCTCGAAAATATTTTTTCCGAAATAAAACTTTTCATTTTGTGTTAGAATTTTAAGTACTTTTACTTATTTATTTATTTCCACCTATTTAATGCTCATGCTTAAGCTTGGATGGTTGGATTCCACGTTCCTCTCTTAAAAAAGTCCACACAGTGATGTGTCGTGGATCCAACTACGAATTACATGATTGATTTGGGCCATTGCATTGACTCTAGCATGTAATGTTGTCTTAACAAGGGATAATTTAGATCATGTATGGCTGAGTTTATTGAAAATTAGTTTATAAGCTTATAAATATTTGAAATTTTAAGTAGTTATATGTTTGGTTAAAGTATTTATAACTTTATAAATAACTGATAAGTAGTTAACGCGTTTAATAAAATGTGGCTTATAAGTATAATTTATTATTAAAATAACTAAAAAGAGTATTATATTATTTTATTAAATAATAAATATACCATGAAATTTTAAAATTAAATAGAGATAATCTATCTTATAAACAAAGTGCTTATAAACAACAACAATAACAAAAAAAAATAATAATAATAATTATAAGCTCAACTTATAAATTCAAAAAAATTATAAACAAACGTGTCAACTTAATTTTAGAGTTTATAAGTTAATTTGACCAGCTTATAAACTTAAATAAACACCCTCTTAGTTCCATGTTTGGTATATATTATTGGTTTATTCGATAACTTCTAGCAATTATAAGATCAATGAAAATTATTTACATTGATTTGAATTTAAGTCAATGGTAAAACTCAAGGATCATTGATGGTAGGTGTAAATTGTATTTTGCTACTCTTTATATGACATTACCACTGAATCTGGGATAAGAAATGTCTAAGCTTTTTTTTTTTTTTTTTTTCCGTTTCCTAATCTAATCAGTGCAACTGATGTTGCCGTATGTTAAAACTCTTAATGCCTAAATGCCACCCAGATATAACCAAACACGAGGCTTGTTGAGCATTTACGTACATTCTTGGTGTATCTATAATCTATTAAATTAAATATGCAAATATAATTTTAATTTGTTGTATGTTTAACTCAGGTTGCAGAAGGAGCAAGGTTATGCAAAGCTTCAAAAATTATTGGTGTTGATTTAAATCCTGAAAAATTTGAGTTAGGTCGGTGGTCTTACATAAAACCAATAATGTGAACAGAAACAGTTACCTACTTGACTGTTTCCTTTTCATCGCAGGGAAAAAATTTGGAGTCACTGATTTCATCAACCCTGCAGAGTGTGGGGAGCAAACAATCAGCCAGGTCGGTCTCTAACTTACTATATAGCTAGTAATATTTTGTTTGATTAAAAGCAGAAATTGAACTTGTGTTTCATGGGTTCCTAATGGTTTATTAGGTGATTAAGGAAATGACAGACGGGGGTGCTGACTATTGCTTTGAGTGCATTGGATTGGCATCTGCAATGGAAGATGCTTTCAGTTGTAGCCGAGAGGTATGTCAACAACCAATTACATGTACATTTCGGTGGATCAGAGGATCTGTTTCCTCTTCGTCTTTAAATTAATTGATTATAGTGTTGTTGGATTCGTGAGATTAGGGGTGGGGGAAGACAGTGATACTGGGAGTGGACAAGATTGACCAGGCATTGTCTTTGAACTGCTATGAGATTCTTAGAGGCAAAAGTGTTAGCGGCTCATTGTTCGGAGGGATCAAGCCCAAAACTGATATCCCACTTCTTGCCCAGAAATATGTAGACAAGGTTTTTAAGCTATATCATCTTTCATCGATTTTGCTACTTAATTAGGTGATCTCTCAAGTAACAAGATGTTTGTTTGCATTACAGGAACTTCATCTGGATGATTTCATAACCCACCAAGTGAATTTCCAGGATATTAATAAAGCTTTTGAGTTGCTCCTGGAAGGGAAAAGCCTCCGTTGCATCATCTGGATGGATCAGTAACTGTCTCCCTTTCTCATGCCACTGTAACAACGGTGACCAATAAACTTATTTCATCATATAAATCAAAACTCTATATATCATCTCCCATTAATATATACTAAATGCATACTGTAATTTTTTTTTTTTAGCTTTGTAATCTCTTCCAAGTTCTGAAAAGCCAAAAAAAAATGTGATATATGTTATTATTGTTGTATTATTTTCATTTTATACTAATTATCATTGTTGCTATTTTAATTGTTAAAGGTAATGAATCTCAACCTTATAGTGCATACCAAGTTATTTGTTTTAGAAGTTAAGGCATGAGGTCAAGAAATCCTTAACCCGACAATGACATGATCAGTAAAAGGCCAAAATTTAGAAAGAAAGGTCATGGTCGCTAGAAAAAGAACTTCAGCAGCCACAAATACAGACCATAATCCAGAAATTATAAGTATACTACACAATTCTAACCAGCTCAAATGCTTTATGCAAGAGAATCTGGTCAATAATCAGGGGCATCCTGTGATGAGAAGATTATCTTATTGCAATTGTAATTTGTTTATCACTTGTGATAGCTAGTTTTAGTAATGTCATTTGGTTTATTATGGGGATGTTCAAGTGTTGTGGAGTATGTAGAAGAAGTGAGAGAAGGAGACTTGGTTGTTCATGTGCTTCAAGCAAACTGCGGAGAATGTAGAGATTGCAAGTCAACAAAAAGCAACATTTGCTCAAAATTTGGTTTAAACAATGGAGGAGACATGCCAAGGGACATGAATGGTGAGGTTGTGTACCATTTACTTCGCGTGTCCAGCTTCAACTAATACACTGTAGTGGATATCACGCATTAGTCAAAATTACCCGCGAAATACCAGTCGACAAGGCTTGTCTGCTTAGCTGGAGTGTCAACCGGTGACGGTGAGTCACAAATGTTCATGTTCAATATTTTTCATTTTTCAATGTGTGCTTGATTCATATACTTAATAGATAGACAATTTAAACGTGATAATTGAGTTTATTTTGTCTGTGCTGATTAGTTATCTTCTCATGTGAGAGGCAGGGTTTGGAGCAGCATAAAAGGTTGCAGGAGTTGAAGAGGGGTCCACTGTGGCAATCTTTTGGTTTGGGGCTGTTGGGCTTCCGGTACTTATTTGAACCCAGAAATATATATGTCAAAAGAGTAATGTTACGTTCATCGAAGGTTATGCACCGAATGACGCGACAAAATCATGATCGTTGATTAATATTAACTAATAATGAATCAACGGTTAGGATTTTATCACGTCATTTGGTGCACAGATTCGGTGCACAACCTTCGGTGGCTCTATCATTTTCAATGTCAAAATTATTCTTCAATCTTCGTTTCTTAGATGGTGAGAGTGAGACCGATATTAAAACTCTGATAAAGAGTGGAGTCCGATTCTAAACTGCCTAATGCCTATACGCCACTAAAATTACAAACATACATGAGCCTTCTTTTCATAAGCATGTACATTCATGCTATATGCCTATATCTAAATGTTTTGCCAAAATCAGTCACCATTCATAGTAAGGCATCAGTCACTAATTAGGATCCAACAGCAGTAAAAGTAAAAGAAATACAAATTGTCATCAACTCACCTTGATAATCAACATCCATCTTAACTTAATTATCAAGTTAAAATCTAGACTGTTGATACTCTCCACATATTACAACAGGATTAAGAACAGTCTGTCAAGTAATCATCATCTTGAAATCGGTTAAATAACATCTTATTAAAGAGAGAGCATCATTTGAATTAAAGCTCGATCATCTCCCAATATTTATTAAAATATATATATTGTAAATTTTTTTTTTTTTTTTTGAGCTTTGTAATTTCTAAAAACCAAAAAACAGACCCAACTAAAAGTCTGCAAATTATAAAAATGCGAGTGCAACAACACAAATCCTACCCTCCTCCGTTGCTTTATTTCTGCTCATTTAAGCCGGGGCATCCTGCGGCTGTGGACATTATATCTCTCAATTGCAAGTTGTAACATTTTACAGAAAAAACACTTCTACCGAAGAGTGTTCCTCAAAAGAAAAAGAAAAAAAAGGCACTACCATCATTATTCAAAAGGGAAATTTTACTTGTTGAGTGATTATACAAAAGACTGAAGAGCACACCCAACCTAATTAGTACACCTCTTTGGAAATACCTACTATAATTTGTAAGCTAGTGATCAACAGATCTAGTCATGAAGTAGTGACCCATTTGCTAAATGCATTCTAGGCCCGTCTCGGCCCAGCTAGCCACCCAGTTACTGCTGTTTCTAGAATGTGAATGTTATCCTGTTAGGTCGCCATATTTCACGGAGCTTCTTAAATAAACGAAACGTGGCAAATGCTGAATCGATTAAAACATTTTTACCACTAATGTAAAACAGTGAAAATTACTAAATCCTGAACTACCCTTCTACAGTATCTCTCTTGCAACGTAATAATCTGCTTTTGGCGTTGGCCGCCTCTTGAACTAAGCGACTGCCAGTTGAAGAACACAGATCGCTTTCTTATCTATCAATGGCGGAAGCCCAAAACGACAAAACTCCGTCCCTAGCTGAGGTGCCATTTCTCTCTCATCCTATTTATTTTCGTTTTTTAAACTAAAGAATAATTGGTCCAACAAATTCACAATCAGTATCGTTTAAGTTCGATCCGTGTTTCTTGTAGCTGATTTGACTTGAACAGATCGGTTCGTGGAATTTCCAAAAGTATTTAATTACAATTTTAATTATAATAATAAGTTTGTGGCGTACTGTGTGCTGCTGATTGAGAGTTCTATCGACATCTGATTATGCTTAATGAAATATGGTGGAAATTAAATTCTGATGCAATGTGAAGCAAAATTTTTCTCTTTTAAGCTGCCGCAGGATAAAATGACATTGACTGATTTTGTGTAATTTAAGTCAACCCTCTAAACTAGCTTTTGTTCTGCTCTAGATTTAAGACTGATATATTGGATGATACTGCTCTATTAAATTGCAATTTGTTTTCCGTTTCCTGATGGTCTTAACTTCAGTGGTGGTGAAGACTGTTTGGTTTCATTGAGGTTTAAGGATCTTGTTTAGGTTTGCTCAACAGAGAAATAAACCACTGATGTTTGTTAATCAATAAATTGAAGACTCAACCTTAAGTTGCGAGCTTGTTATAGCAGATTTTAGAACTGCATATGGTGTCGGTTTGTCTGATGCTTGTGGGTAGTGGATGTCGATATTTTGTAGTTTTGCCCACATTGCTTCAAATCCCCATGATAAATTTTAAGAAACTTGCCTACAGCCTATCAAGCTTGTAACCTTGAGCTTGGTTAAATGGAAGTGAAATCGCTCAAACATGCTATATACATTTGGGTCAACCATGACTGAAACTTTGGCCTTTAACCATCACGACTATTTTTATGTTTACAAGGGTGCAAATTCTTCTTCTGTATTCAGCGTCAAACATATTCATAATTGTTTATTCTTCCCTTATTATAATTTGAGCTCATTATTGTGAAATTCTTTTGGATTGTGCTTTGATGTGTAGGAATATTTGTTGAAGGGAAAAGAGGAGAAGGAAGATGTGACTGTAAAACCTGCGGAAGTAAAAGAGGTTGAGACCCCAGTGACTGCCGATTCTGAGGAAGTTGTCACTGAGAAAGCTGAGGAAACACCTGCTGCTGCTGCTGTTGAAGAAAGTCCACAAGTCACCCCTGCTCCTACTATTGAAGAAAGCAGTGAAACCACTCCTGTTTCTCCTGAGGAAAACAGTGGTGAAGCTGCTGTAGCTGCTGCTGAGGAAAGCAGTGAAACTACTGAAAACTCGGGCGATCAGGAGAAAGTTGAAGAAGAGACACCAGAGATAAAGGTTAGTAATTACCCATAACAGTAGTTTGCTCACTTGCCGCCTATTCATGTGATGTGTTTGCTAGTTGCATTTTTGTGTTCTTTCTGTTGACTTGTTTATTTGATTTACTGTTGGCATATAGCTGGAGACAGCACCTGCAGATTTCCGTTTCCCAACTACAAATCAAACAAGGCATTGCTTTACCCGTTATATTGAGTATCACCGGTGAGTTAACCTTTTCTTTTCAATTAACTCCGAAGCTAGTCATTAGCATAAGAATTTATAGCATATTATTGATCATTTTGCCCTTTACAGGTGTGTAGCTGCCAAGGGAGAAGGTGCCCCAGAGTGTGATAAGTTCGCAAAATATTATCGTGCTCTTTGCCCTGGAGAATGGGTATGTATTACCAACACATGGCATGCCCCAACATGTTATATATGCCTTTGTTTCTCAAATGTATTGTTCACCTCTGCGATGTGATTGTCTTGCATATGAAAATTTAGTATGGATACTGATTGTACATACTATTACTGGACTGGAGAGCTACTACAAATTATTTTCCTTATCACTAATATTATTTTCTACCTTTTCTTTCCTACATACTTTCTACTTCATCATGAAGATAGCAGTTCTCTGTATCTGGCTGCTTAGTTGTGGATTGCCGTAATCTTACATTTTAAATATTTCCTTAGATTAGATTTGTTGCTGTTTTGTATTACCATATTATCTTTTGTTGACTTTGTTATCATGTGAATGTTTCTCGTTGAGCTAACTTTTACATCGTGTGTGGTTTTCAGATTGACAGATGGAATGAGCAACGGGAGAATGGCACCTTTCCCGGTCCTCTGTAGATGGTGCTTCTTTTGCGAGCCTGGATGTCGTTTGCTTCCTGCTGTTAAACCCGAGTTGCCATTTTGAATCCATAGATAAAATTCTTGGTTGAGAAGTGAATTCTCAGAGATGTTTTCTAAAATTTAACGAGTTAATAAAAAATTTTGGCTTGTCAATCAGAACTCGTTCAAGTCCAAACACGGAGATGTATTGCTCAACACGAAAGTTATTGCGTACCATCTCGAGATAAAGTTTTTTACCCATCATATTTTTCCTGCGGTGGAGTGCTTGCTGTATAATGGATAATGGTTTCAGGCTACGTAATGGAACACGCTATATCTGTAGAATTATTAATTATATATCAAAACTAATAATGAGATCAGTCTTTTTCAGTTGGTAATGCCTCATTGAAAATTTATTATTTATACTGTATAGATTATCTTCGGTTTGAGGGGTGATGATATCATTTCTGCCTGTTCATGATATAAAGACTAATATTACATAACCTCGCGATCTTTTCTTACAATCTTAATATAACAGTTGAATTGATAATTATTGTGTTAGCTTTTATTATACTCAAGATATTAAATAATTTTAATTAGATATGAATGATTGTTTCTAAGAGACAGATGGTTATTCTTTCATAAGATTGTTCCTTTATAAGGAATAAAAGAATGAATGGTTGATTTTTACTAACATAAAAAATGATTACTCTTTACAAAAAAACAATAATTCATTTATGAGGGATAATTGTCTCTTATAAATAGAATTTTGAATGAATAATTGTTTGTCTTTAAGAAATAATGATTCGCTTTTAAGAAATAATTGTTTATATTTAGTCAAACCCATCAATTAACTTGGTAGTATTTGAAAAAATTGTGTGATTGCTGTAAATTTTAGTATTTTTTATATAAGTTACACGACTTTCACAAATGACACCATCTAAAAATAAATAAATAAAAGCGGGTCTTTGTAAAAGATAATTAGAGCTGAAAAATAGCGGTCTCATAATAG